GAACCACTTGCGTTGCTTATCGGTAGATATTTATCCTTTCAATACAAACTCTCATATTTACATCATTACCAATTCTCAGAGTGGTAGAATTTCAACTTCTTAGTACCCAGTTCAAAGTTGTATATAAACGGATTGGTTTGTGAACGCGTTCAAAAAGTGTCAGGAATTTCGATGGCCTATTCCTGGGGTCATTATTTATAAATACCCACGTTTGTGAGAATCTTAATATGTCGCTTCGCGGCGAACATCTTCGAATCTGAATATCTGGTCTTCTACTATCTTCAGTCTTCATCAGTTAAACATCCTGCTTTCAATAACTCGAATGGAAACAGTAGCCAAGCCTTGAGCATTTCCGTTTGACATGCATGCTGAAAATCTGAAACCAGTTTGTAGTTCTTCAACTTGTTTTGATTGTTTTTTGTTTTCGACAATTATTATACGGGCTGTTTTTTGGCTGGCCCCACTATTGCTATTCCGGAAACGGTAAGACCTACAAATTCTTGGATTGGAATCTTTTAATTTTAATTTCCTTTTTAATATTCAATATTTAATCGTTGCTTGTATTTCATTTTATGGTAGGTAATTTCATTTCAGGGTTTTTTCTTGGTACTTTCATCCATTCTTTTTAATTTTATTGACTCTTGTCAATATTTCTAGTTTGAAGTGGAAATTTTGCGTTCAAAGTCACAGTATCGAGATTGAAATCAAAATTTTTGAGTTTCAAAGTCGCAATTTCCTCGAAATTTCTCGTATAATAAAAATATATGGCCCTTCTACGCTTCCGTAAAGATTAGTGTTTTCAGCCGTGTTATGAGCAGATGAAAACTAGCGTTTCAACTTGAAACTTATAGCAGTTCATCTAGAGATTTACTTTTTATTATATGTGAGAATTTTCAATATTATTTCATATGATTTATTATGTTGTGCAGGGTGCTAGTATTGCAGTTTCATTATCAATGTTTGAAGCACGAACTGAATGAGAAAAAGTGATTTCCGTGTCGTTTCGGATGGATTTTTTCTTCAGTTTGTATCAGAGCTTGATCTACACATTTTTGTAGAGTTTTTTCCATTCTTCGGAAATTTTCCACTTTCCACTTTACATCGACGGAGAAGTAAAAAAACATTTTTTTTCCTCCTGAAAAATATTGTCTTTTCGACAAAAGATGTATGATTTCTTTCCACTGCAGTGACTCTGGTAAAAGAAATAAAACTTTTTGAAACAAACCATGAAGATTGCATCCATTCGTGATTCAATATCCACTCTTCAAAATACAAAAGAAATGCGTGAAACAAATCCTCGCTTCTCAGATTTGCCAATATCTGTGAATTGTTTACGTATAAAATTACTTCAACTGAAGTCGAGATATAAAGAATCTGTAATTACATCGCAGCACTCTGTATCCGTAACAAAATATTCGCAGAAACTTCTGGTGTTCGATAATTCAGACTGAGTTTGTATTTCAGTGAACATTGGGAAATCTTCTACCATATCGAAATAACACTTAATAACGGTTTTTCAAAAGTACCTAATGCTAATAGTAAACATGGGAAGAAAAATGCAGTGAAGTGGCAACACTGCATAATCACCGTATAAGTAGAGACCAATATTTTAGCAGTAACAGTTTCCTACTTGGGGGTCACCTTCACGAGGACCCTCAACTGGGAAATCGACCTGAGAGAGGCACTGGACAAAGTCCGGAAGAGAGCTAACCTTCTAAAAGCTCTGAGAGGAAACCTTGGGGGATGCGACAGTAGAACTCTGCTTCATACCTATAATACCTATATAAGACCAGTCCTCGACTACAAAGCAATGATATACTGTACGCTTCCTCCGAGACTGTCCCACCGCATCCTTACGACCGAAAGAAGAATACTACGAAACATACATAACCTACACTACCGATACCCTTCCCTACACTTATACAACCTCATAAATACTACACCAATCAACCATAGATTTCAGGAACTCCGAGGACGATATGCGACCAGGACGATGAGCAGCAACAACACCGATGCCATCGACACGCTCACATCGCCATGGATCTCCCGTGGAGGATCCCGAAGGAAACCTAGGAAAAAGCTCCCCTTTCCCCCAGCCAGACTCCTGGGAGCGATGGAAGACCCACCGGAGCCGATCCAGGCTCCGATCCTAGAGGATTTCCCACTGGGATACAGATAGCGGATACCTGACAGCAGCGCCACGGAAAGTACCGATATCCTAAAACACGCACAACCCCGGCCCAAAAACCCGTACTGAATCATAACATCTGGACCACCGACCACCGCAATGAACCCGGACTACCACATGGATCAACATAAAAACCAACTAAGAAAACTGGAACACAAAAACAACACAACACAAACACCAACATAAAACACAAAACACACACATAACTCACTCACCCTGAAGAGGCATAAGCCTATAGTAGGGCCCTACACATTATTAGTGGCAGTAACCAAAAAGCATGAGACTTTTTGATTTTTGATGTGACAAAAAAGTGCCCTAGTTGGAAAACAGATAAGGAACGAACTAAATTGTATTTCACCTTGGGTTGGTATTTTTCAGCATTTCCGACTTACGTTTAAGAAAATTTGAATTGATAATAATAATAATAATAACCAATAACTGATAGAAAAATCAACATGAATGAATATTAAACGTGAATGAATACGAAAAAAAACTAATAATTCCGTTACTGGGTGGGAGGTTAACTGCAGCATTGATTCACGATAACATAAAGTACAAGACTACCTAAATTGAAAGAAATACAAAGATGATTCAGGTACCAAAAGGCGCAGAGAGAGTGCTAAGTAGATCTCGTGCTAGTCACTGTCAGCTTTTTTTTGTCCCTTATTAGCTATAAGATTTTTATAGTATCACGAGACAGGTATTCACTGGTCATAAATATGAATTATTTTATGCACTTTATAATAGTGTAGTTTTATCGTGCCGTTTTATCGAATACAAAAAAAAATCAAAAAAGAAATTGATGCAATTTTTTGCGATTTACAATGTACAATAATCTAGAGCAGAAAAAGATTTCAACAAGCTTTGTACACACACTTAGAAGAAGTAGGGGGTTCCTGGTACATTCCAAAATCATTGATGAATCTTCTCACAAAATATTCTTTTTTCAAATTTTTTACACTGTGAATTCGATGTTGTTTATCGTCAAGATTTGAAAAAAAATGACTATGTTTTTGTCAGATAATTTTTACTAGCTGCAAGTTGGAGAGAAAATCCAGATAATTTTCATTATCAAATGAATATGGATTGTTTGAAAGTTCTAGAAAAGATCCCTGTGGAGAAAATAAATACTGAAATTTTTAGTTTTTTATTAACAATCGAAGGTATGGAAAATGAAAGATGTAAGTAAATAAAGCAATCAAAGAATATTTTTTCAAAATTCCTTGTTTTCTGTTTGTTTTCTGAAGGAGTGAAAGTAATCAGGTTTAATTCAATGACACAAAAACCCAGGCATCGTGTTTTCTCCAAAAAGATAAATGTCAGGTCGATAAGTTTATTGGGGGTTAAAATGGACACCAATGTGTCTTGGCACAATCATGTTACTGGAATTGCAAAGGTTGCTTCTCAAAAGCTTGGAAAACTGTTCCGAAGCAGAAAACTGTACACACCTCAGCTACTTCTGATGTTTTATGAAGCTCAACGAGAAGCGCTAAAAAAATTTATAACTGAATAAGTTTACCCTGCGCAAAACGAATAATCCATTCTTCTCGCTCCAGCATTGAGACATTCCATGTCTCTATAACCAACAAATGTTATTCATATCTTTATCCAACCCTGACATTGGGAATTCAGTAGATATATTACTGAAGAGACTTCCTCTGAGCTGAATAAACATTTACACAGATAAATCTTATCAAAACATTGAACAGCGCTCTTTGAGAACGCACTTTTTCCGACATTCGCTCACGTAAAATTGTTCAATATTTACCAAGAATTAATATGTGTTCAAATATTTAGAACAGAAACAAAATAAATTCGTCAGTTTCGTGGCAGACAGTAGCCTAAAATAAATAAGAATGATGATCCCCAAAGAAACGGACATTATAAAACGAACAAAGGAAAAAGCTCTTAAATATTCATGATTTCTAGAACTGGAACGTTTATTTTTAGATGTTTGATTGAACGAGTTGTCACCTCCAAATTGATGGTCCTAGTTATAAAGTGTGGAATTACTCAAAATAGAGGTTCATCAAATTTCTCAGTTACAGATGAGTTATACGGAGGAAAAAAAACTAGAGATATTATGCACTTGAGATGCAAATATTCTCGGTGGTCTACGTCTACACGAACAAAAATTTTCCATTCACATTATAATTTCCTGTTCCAATTTTGTTATGATCCCAAACGTTTTTTGCTTAAACGATTAGAGAGCATATTACAAAATTACTCTCGATAACTATTTTCAAAATTAGTTTTAAAGGTGAAAATATAACTTTTTTTTATGAACATACCACCAAAAATGCGACTCCTTCATCCAATGATCTTATAAAGTAAAAAAATCCGAATTGATTATGCTTATATGTATAATGATTGGATGAAAATTTGTAAGATAGCTATTTTCAACTTTCTGCTTTATTATAATTTCTTCAATTATAATTCTCACTTCTTTCTAGCTGCTCTTGCTCTATTGGTATTAATGTTTTTTCTTCAAATCGGTACATCTTTATGACCCATCAATATTTCAACATCCATCATTCAAAAGTGAACATTGTCAATCATACTGAAACGAACATTGTTTTTCCTACTTGCTTGACCGTAGTCTCAAAGTTGAAATTCTGCTAAGAAACTAGACTTTTTACAATACAAATATTTTCAAATAGATAGCTGAAGATTATACGACAGATATCAACCAACATGATACTCTGGCAAACGTAGATATCAAAAAGTGGTGACACTGTGTGTAAAAATAATTAAATAAAAATTTTTTATTATATTGTGAAAACCGAAACAAAAAACAAAAGGAAAAACTTACTTGATTTCGAAAGAATTTCTTCAAGGTCCACTTTGTTCACCCTAAATCCTAGACGAAACAAAAAACACGTGAGATAATGGATTACAAATTTTGATAATTAGTGATGGTTATACTTGTGCTCGATGAAAACATTACAAATTTGTGGTTACCTAACAACTACCCCCTAAAAACTACAAATTGTGCTAGTTAGTACTATTTTCCATTTTTTTTTTTGTGGAAGAATGTGTACTCATGAGTGAGATTCTTGAAAATATTTTCATGAGGAATTCATTAGGAATTGACCCATCACAAACGGTGCGTAGGATGCCAGAAGAACTGGACCATAGCTCCCATGCGGTTTTTATGGTTTGAAACATTTTGAAAATGTCAAAAAGCCTTGGAATCTCTCAACTTTTTATTTTTTGTTCAATTGTTCTATTTTTACTTGTATTTTATTTCACTATTTCATATTAGGGTTTATTGTTAATTTCAGGTAAGTATTCTTCTTTTTCAGTTCTTTCAGGGATTTCAAATCATTTTACATAATATCAAACAATGAAAGTCGGAACTAATGAGATATTACAAACTTAAGTAGATTCATAAACCTGCCAAAATTATTGTATTTTAGTCAGGAAAAGGTATGTTTCTTCACTGCACTGCGACTTGAGATTTTTCCACAAACTATTTATGACAAATTCGAAACGAAGGAGCCTGTCTTTCTGGAAAATTCAAAATTTTTGCGAAATATGATTAACAACCAAATGTAGTACTAAACTGAATTATTACTTGATTATATATGTATGTACATGAATCATCACCATCACGGTTGATTACTACTAATTTCAAACAGAGAATCAAATCTCACGTGAAAACGTGTTTGAATCAAATGACTCATACAAAATTGTGAGCCTCATTAAATTTTTTTACCTATCAAAGCTCTCGAGCAAGTTCTTCAAGGAAATCAATAAGAAGAATCACGAAGCGAATAATCCTGTTTTACGCGTCTCGACGCTCGAATACAGGGTTTGTAGATTTACCACACGTAGGCCGCCTTTGAGGAAAACACTTGACAAACTCCAATATTAACTTGAATAATTGGGCATAAATGATGAAGCCGTCAGACTTCTCTAATTAGTTGTGGTTTTATCCCAATCAACTCATATATATTTATAATACAATTAATATCAACGTGTTTTCAGTTTGGGTGATTATCGGAAATCGATCACAAAAATCTGAAAGAAAATCAGACGAATGACTCCAGATTTCCACATACAGATTTTATTTACATTTGGACCAGACTGTCTGCCAACCCCGATAAATCCCGGATTAAGAATGTCGTGACAATAATCCCACGTCTAGATTTATATGAATTTAGATTATCCTTCAACTGGTCGTTGGAGTATGCCGAGTATTTCAAATTCGACTTTCATCAGTCAGATCCCGGAAACTATTTTAGGCAGAAAGATGTGCGATTTGTTTCCTTTTTTCGCAATCTCCAAAACTCCCTAATGATGTTGTGTTGGAGGTTTTCGATATCTTAGTATTCCCTACGTCAGAAATATCTACCATTCAGTGTAGCTCATAAAAATGTATCAAGGATACTGAGATCTGGAGACTTCGGTGGCCATCTTACTGGATCGTCACTAAGATAACCAGATACCTGCTTTATGTTGTGAGGTGCAGCACTATCTTGTTGGTACCTGATGTTACCATAGTCGACCAAAGGAAATCATCTAAATAATTTTCAAAAGTTAAGGAGGAAAATTCATCCAAAAGCGTGCTGATGGAGACTAGTAATTTCACTCAACAAAAGTTTCACTTGCTTATATCAATACTCTATCACATAATACGTTCTTCTGTCCTAAATTCGACAATATTATCCATTCATTCAATTAAGGTCAGTTGCCAATTGCTCCAGAGCCCATTACCTTCAGTTCATGGGTCAGCTGAATTTTGTAGAAGTACAAGCCCAAGTCACGATACAAAATTCGCCAAGTTGTGATCTGTGAAAGGCCGAGTTCTTGTGAGTCCCTATTGGAAGACCCTCCATTACAAATTTATTTATTTATTTGTAATACAATACTCTACAGGACATAGCCCAATTACAGAGTAGGAAATAACAGAGTATAATAAATACATCACAAGCAAGTGACTATAAAGACTACACATTTTATATTCATTCTAGATGACAACACAATTATTTTAGGAAGTGGGATTTTATATTTGACAGAACAGAACAGAATTTGTCACTTTACACATGGTATGGATCGGAGAATTCTCCAGAACATTTGTGCGAGATATTTTTATATAGAAAGTACTCGGGTGTCTGGAACAGATTATAGGAACGCAAATATTAAAGTTTTCCAGTAATGTTGGGCAGTCAACTATGCTTTTGATAATTTTATAAGTTAGTGCAATGCTATAATATTCACGCCTTTTTTCGAGACTGCAAAAGTTATGCTTTTGTAGCAATTCAGAGTGGGTTGTTCCTTTTGGAGGATAAATGCCATCGGTTTTTAGGCTTAGCAGTTTTAAAAATCGTCGTTGAATTGCTTCTATTCTATCAATGTGATATTGATAAAAGGAGCTCCACACAACTGACGCATATTCTAACTTTGATCTTATGAAAGCATAGAATAAAGTTTTTAAGGTTGAAGTTTCTTTGAAATCGCTACTGTTACGTACAATTAATCCGTACAAACGACAGGAGGAGGTGACAACATTATCGATATGCCTATTAAATGATAGTGCAGTGTCAAATGTGACGCCAAGATCAGTAAATGTTTCTGGTCTCACCAGGGAAACGTTTTCTATTGAATAATCAAAGATCAAGATATTCGTTTTCAAACTGTAGGGGTGACCTTATATTTATCCGGGTTCAGTGACAAGTTATTTCGATAACAGCATTCTACAACCCGTCCTATGTTTGCTGAGAGGTTCACACAATCATCTATGTTCTCAACGAGGCAGTATAGTTTTAGATCATCGGCATATAAAAGGAAATACACATCTATAACATCTGCAATATCCTTAATGAATATATTGAAGAGCAACGGTCCCAGATTTGAACTTTGTGGAACACCGGAAGAAGCACTATATTTGGTAGATTTGAAACCATTGAGCTGATTGTTTTCGATCCCGTAGATAGGACTGAAAGAGGACTAGTTTGTTCCGTAGAATGCCATGGTCAAGCCTGTCGAAGGCCTCAGAAAAGTCTGTAAATAACAATCAGTTTGGGCCATGTTGTCAATAGATTCAGCAATATGTTGGGTTACAGTCAGAAGATTGGTGACCGTTGAACGATTTTTCATAAAACCGTGTTGGTTTATACTTATATTGCAAATAACATGCCGATATATAACTCGATCCAGCAGAATCTCAAAAACCTTTGCAAAGTTGCAAATAATAGAGATAGGCCGATAATTTGTAATATCTCTATCTCCTTTCTTGAAAATGGGAGAGTTTGGTTGAAAAATGGAAGAAGTGGTATACGATTGTTTGAAAAGACTGGCAAAACCGTTTACGATACGGTCGAAGTATAAAGTAAAAGGGACCTAATGATTTCCCTAGATTTCCTTTTAGAAAACAGTTGTTTCCTATGGATTTTTTCCTCACGTTTATAACTGAAAATTCAAACTGTGCTCATCAATAACGGTTACCGTTCACCGTTGAGAATTTATTTGAAGCCCCATGTAGGTACGTTGTACATGGACCCCTTACTGATCAATCGTGTTACAGGAGGCAGTACCAGATTTGGTTTGTTGGACTACAATCATAAATTTGATGGTCACTAATAGAGACAAAGGCCCTCCAAAATCAGTACAACACACATGCAAAACTTCCTCTAATTAAATATATTACCGATTCAGCGTCGGGCCATATATATCTAATTTATGGCAAACTATAAAGACATAACGGCTCATATCCTTTCGAGATACTAGCAAGAAATCTCGATTGGAATGAGAACCACATTCGGTTTATAGCAGTTGATGATTCGAAGCTGAACACATGTTGCTGCAACTGAAATATTACGAGGGGTATTTGATTATACGTTCACATTTAGTGACTGCTGGATAGAAATAGAATAGACGGATTGAATCAACCTGGGGAAGAAATACGGTATTAATTCAGGGTGGATATAAAAATAATGGGAGGAAATAGTATTAATATCCACAGTTTGGCTATTTATTGTTGAATATACAGGGCTATTCAAATACGTTTCTGTACATGGTTATCTCGTAAACGATAAGAGATAGAGTTTCGATTAAATTATGGCAAAGTTGCGTACTTTAGAGACTTATTCAATGATGTAAAAAAATCGAATATAGCTCTTTTGGTTTTGGAGATCTACAGAAAAAACTAAAATATCCCAAATTATTTTTTTGGTTATATCTTCTTTATTCGCAGAATATATCTATGAATCTTTTATGTAGGGTGTCATCTGACTTGTGTCACCCCCATCTTTGAATTTTTAAATACGGACCTGTATTTTTTGTTGTAGTTTTTGGATCGTAGACGTTCACTTCATACTAAGAAATTGAATTTTATATTATATTTCGGGATGTTTCGGCAATATTTGATTATAATTGTGTTAATTATTCCTTTTTAAATTACGGCCCTGGAAATTGGTTGACTGAGAAACCTTTTATGATTATCTGAAACATATCTACAACAAAAATATATTATATGTATTTTGATGAGCAGAAAAAGAAATGATAGCAATAATAACATCCAGAACCAACACTATAGTTGTGATGAAAATTGAAATGAATTAATTTATATACACTCAAAAATTAATGGTGCAATTAATGTTCGAATTAGGGTCCTTCCATTTCGAGACAAATACTGGGCCAATATAATGGCCTGCAAGATCACCAAATCTTACTATTTTGGACTATTTTCTATGGGGGACATTGAAAAATAGGATTTACGCTGGCAGAGAGATAGAAAATGTGGAACACTCGAGATTGAGGATTTTGCATGATTTCGCATCAATGTAGCAAATAAGTGTATCAAGGGCAATAAATAATTTGAAAAACCGAGTTCAAAAATGTCTCGAAATGGAAGGA